ATTTTTTCATGTTTCAGGTGTCCTACATTATCGAAGAGTATCGATGTGGTAGAACTCCTAATCCAGACATTCTTTGCAATACAAGAATAAAGTTTGGTATGCATTGAGTTGAACTTGGAATTCAGTTGTGACTATAATGATTCGGAATCCAAATATAGTTCTTCATTTCTTAAGCTTACGTAACGTTTCAGGTGCATTCATGGATGCCATCAGCTGTATGAAGTTTGACTATGTGGCATCTGGACATTATGCAAATGTTGTCCACCCATCTGCAGGTGAAATGGACAAGGATTCAGTTTTAGAACTATCACAAGATATGGTACCTATATTCGATACAATTTGACAACTTTTATTCTTTTCATTTTGGATTATCAATCTTGACTTGTTAAACTTGTTAAGTTTGAGGTTAATTCATTTGGTGTTCAAATAGGGTCTTCTGCTGTGTAGACATATATGTAAGTTTTGTTGTCATCATATGTCCTCAGGTATACGTTGCTCTGTGATTATAAACCTTGAAACATTACGGAATTCAAAGTTTGCATCTCGGCATTGCTTCTCTTTGCATGCTATTTGCTATATGCAGATTGCTCTCTGAATAATGTCTAACTTTTGAAATTTTAGGTGAAGGATCAGACATACTTCCTTTCACATCTTTCTCAGGCTCAGCTTAAGCAATTAATATTCCCACTTGGTTGTCTGTCAAAGGTGAGTGGGTACTAGTTTTAATGATATGCAACACTTCACTAGATACTTATTTTAGCTAGTTGTAAAATATAAACATCTATTAAATGTTGAATATTTATTGAATCACAAACTTCAGCTGGGAATAAAGCATGTATTGTGTACAAAAAATTGAAAAGGCTCACTGTAACTGTATTAACTTCTCCAATAATAAAATTGGAAACGAAGTGATGTTATTAACTTGTTGATGTCAAACTTTTCCACCTTCATGCATATGTAATCCTTTTAATTTATTTTTGTTATTTTTTTGGCCATCCTGTAAACTCTTGCATGTAGTTCTACCCTTTCTCTTATTTCTGTGGATATTTCTATAGGATGAAGTTCGCAAGCTTGCAATGAAGTTTGATCTGCTTAACAAACAGAGAAAGGATTCACAAGGAATATGTTTTCTTGGGAAGGTAAGTTTTGTGGAGCTCCCAACATTCTTACCCATTTTCCAGAAGATAATTTCATCCTTTGAATGGCACAACTATCTATATGGATGCCAACATTCATGTGGTCGAACTTGGAGTAGTAGTATTGATTGATTCTTTATGGGTTTACTTGAGCGGCCTTTTTTAAATCCTTAACATAATTCCCTCAGTTTTTTATTTTTCTTTTTGGTTATAGATAAAGTTCAGTGAATTTATTGCAAGACAAATAGGGGAGAAGGAAGGTATCATATTGGAAGCTGAGACAGGAGATTTCCTAGGAACACATCGGGGGTTTTGGTTCTACACTATTGGTCAACGACAAGGTCTACGCCTTCCGGGAGGACCCTGGTATGCTGTCTCACTGTTAATTGTTGGACCACGTCTAAGGTTTTCTGATGGAACTTGCTCTGTTATCGTTTTAATCTTAAATCTGGTCAATGGGGAAGCAATAGTGGCGCTATATAATATTTGTTTTTGTTTTTGTGTGTTCATATTATCCAGTAGTTTTTAATTGTTATGTGGTTCTAAATCGAACACCAATGTTGTATTGTATATTATATTTAGGATGAGAATGGCTTGTATTTCATTATTTCCCCATACTATAGCTACAGAAATCCTGTAGGATCCTCCTACATGATGTGTTTGTGGATACTTCTGAAAGGATGATTGTGCCGACATGGCATTTAGGGTCATGAACTTGTCAGGTCAGCTTGACCTGTCAAAACTAGTTCACAAGCTGGTCCACGCTTGGTCTTGTGGACCATCAACCGGTCAGTGGGCAGGGTTAGGTCAACTCACTACCTAAATCTTGGGACCATGCCCTAGCAGCTTACTGGCCAATGGTTGCCCTACCAGCTTCGGGTAGGCTTGGCCTTAACCCAATTACTCTCTTTAATAAATAAATAAAATTATATTTAAATTAGAGTATTTAACTTTATTTATTGATAAAATAGCAAATAATATTTTTGTAAAGTTAGAATGTCAGAATGGTTCCAATTTAAGCAGAGACATGTTTTGTGAAGTTAAAATGCATTGCAAGCAATGGTTTGCAACATAGTTTTTACTATTTCATGAAATTGCAAAATGTTCGTACGATTACAATTTTACATATTTCTCTAATCAAAATTCTTTTCTTACATATTTCAACTGTAGAAACTTAACCATGAATGAAAAGGTTGAGAGACATGTGGACATATCTATGCTTTATCCTACTTTATTGAGAATCATTGTATTAATGTGTGGGTCGTCTTGAACTAATATAAACAACATTTTTCAGCTTTAATGTGTGTCGTCTCCTCTTATGCAGGTATGTTGTTGAGAAGGATATAAAAAACAATGTAGTGTTTGTGTCAAGAAATTACTTTTCGGTTGACAAAAGAAGGCGTCTGTTTCGTGTTGGCTCCGTGAAATGGTTAAATGGTTTTCCCCCAAACCAGATCAGTCAGCTACAGTGCAAGGTACAAGGATTTAAAATCGATCTGTTACTCCTGTTATAGATTTTTTCTATATTAGTTTTCAGAATGCAATGCTATTATTTTTCTGACGAGTGTTCTGAGTAAGTCTTATTAGTCTTTATTTTACAATTAGGAAGAGTTGTCATTATTGAACTTTGCTAAAATATTTGAGGCCTCATCAAGTTCCACTATCCAGACCTTTACATACTTTGTACATCATATCTAATTTTTATTTTTATTTTTTTCAAAAAAAGCCTCATTATCCTTGAACCTCAAACTCTCAATATTATCGAGTGATGCTGCATGTACCACATACATACTGACCATATTCTAGACCGCAAGTGGGTCCACCTCTACTAGAGATGTGGTCCACAATGTGGACATTTAATGTGGTATAAATATTTTTTATTGAGGTATTATCTGTCTCACTAAAGAGAAAAAATAAATATTATCTCCACAAATGAATGTATGAAATAAATGGTTGTAGCCTAGAGTTTTTACATGTTTTTTTGTTTCATTTCGTTTTTTTTTTAATTTATAACTTTTGGTTGATCTTGTCCTTTCTTTTCTTTTGAGTTTTGAGAAACAAGAGTTTCATGTCTGTGGCCGTCTCATAAGTAATGACTCTCTTGACCATGACATAGAAAACTATCCACTCGTATAAGTTGTTTTCTGTTACTCTTTCACTTGGTATCAAAGTCAGAACTTCCACTTGGAAGCATTTACAACAAATTGGACCGACATTCATCACATAAGGTTTTAAATCAAGTTGTATTAACTAGATGTGGACTAATGTGTCACGGCTGGTTGATAAGTCTTGCAAGGATGGGTGATACAAGGAAAGCTTTGAATCATGTTATATGGTTTGTGGTTTTAATGTTTAGAATCGTAGTGAAAAGAAGCTGAAATGTTTTAAACCTTTCAGGTTAGACATGGGCCTGGTTTTCGTAATTGTAGCTTAATAATGGAACCTGGTGAATATGGTCATGAAGATGTTGCAGTTGTCCACTTATCTGAAGATGATCAAGGCCTGGCAGCTGGGCAGTTTGCGGCCTTCTACCAGGGAAGAACTTGCTTGGGCTCCGGTGTGATTTTGGAGTCTTGGGATGATCAAGGTTTTCCTATATGTGCAAGAGCTCTTGAAATTGCAAGAATGGAAGATAAATCACTTCTTGGTAAACCCGTTAAGATAAAAGTAAAACCAGAGAATCCGATAACGGAGTCTGATCAGGTAGATGGCATGGAACTTTGTCAAGGACTGAAACATTCTGGAATTTCTGCTGCCAAACAACGAATGCAGGTATCTCAAGGAGAAGCAATAACCCGATTCCCTGTAAATTGGCTGCAGAAGTTTCGAGAGAAGTGGTTGCGCATATTCTAGAAATTCTAATCTCACAATGCAGACAGTTTCGAGGCATATGGCGGGAAAAAAATACCCTACAAATGAGAATTAGAGATAGCCCTTTGCTCTTTCCGGTGATCCTCTCTGTTCCATTCATGTATAGTAGAGGAGTGGTAGTTGTAAAATTTGTTTGCCAGAGTATGCAGTGGTCATATAAGTCTTGGCCCTTGGGGTAATTATTTTTTCAAGCATTTTCCCAAGGAGCATAGTTTTATTATCATAGGAAGGGTTGCATTTGCGCCACTTGGCTGCTGATTTTCCATGTATCTTACTCATATTTATACACTATATTCTGATTTCTTAATAAAGAATGGACCGTCTCTTGAAAACAAACGAACACAATAATATCCGGCAGGACTACTTGAATGGAATTGTTTCAAATTTCAACCAAGGGAAGGAGGTAACTAATTTCGATTCATTTAGTTTTATCAGATTTCAAAATCAAGTCAATTTCTATTTCCAAGATGAGTTGAGGGCTGGACACATCTGCCAGTTGTCGGCTTGGAACACTGTCCTTTGTGGCCTTGTTTGGTAGGCCTCACTAGACTGGACTGGACAAAATAATACTTCAAACCCATGTTTGGTTTAAGGCTGGACTAACTTAAATGAGACTATATAGCCCAAACAGTAAAAAAAGGGCTCACTCGCCCTTCTAATATAGTGCGGCTGAAAATGGGTTCGCTAAATAGCGCTCTCGCTGAATAGAACAAGCGAGTCCGACACAACGCAAACCAGTTTCTTCTTCTTCTTGTCCTGCTTCGTGATATCTTGGTTCAGTGTGTATCGACTCTGCCACACAATTCTTCCATTGACCTTCACGAAGGATTTGATTGCAAGACTGAGAAGCACTTGAAATATTTCTCCATTCTGAGGGCGCCATCCATGTCAGTCTTGATTGCAAGAGTGAATTTCTTGTTTCTGATGATGCTTTTAGGCCACCTGAAATTACAGAGCCTATGAATGCTGTGAACAACATGGTCATCAACCAATTGAACGACTCTGTTTGTACTTGAAGTGGGCTTTGTCGGTTTTCAATCGTGGATATCAGCGACATCGCAAATTCCTGAACCCAAATGCACGAAAGGTTTGCTTGTTTCTTTGTCTTATTTTGTTGCCATTATTGCTGGTTCAGAGTCCATTGGTTTTGTTCATAAGATTCATAGGTTTCAATCTTTAAAGAATTGGGTTTGGGGCTTAATGCTTCTGGTGTTGGGCAAAAGTCCATAGCACAACATGCATTCCAACTGTTTGCTAAAATGTGGCACTCAGTTGGGTTATGCAATGGGGTGGTAATGCAATTCTTGATTTTGATCTTGGCTACCACATGGGCATTCGAGACAAAGGTAGTGGTGAGTTTCTCAAGAGTTGCTTCATTGGAGGACTAATGACATGCTTAGTCATTGGTTTGGCACCAAAACATGCCAAATTTTAGTCTTTTTTGCGGTTGTGTTGAGTAGTCTAGCTTATCTATTAGATAACGTGTCCCCTTTTTTTGTGGTTGTGTTGAGTAGTCATCGGTTCGTCACATTACATTAGTCATATATGTGATATGAATCATACACTCTGTGCTTTTGAACATTCAAATTGAGATAGATGTTTTTTGTATGTCTGCAATTGACATTGACTTTTAAGCCTTACATGAGTTTGTTGATTTTGATTTTTTGGTCTCTTACAATCCGGATTCAGGTGTTTTTAGATGGAGTGGAAATCCAAAGAAATGTAGGCCTCACTGAAGATCAAAGCAATAAGAAGTAAAGTTTTATCTTGTTATGTTCAGTATTCAATTACTTTCCATGGACGGTCATCATTGACTAGGTTTCTAATTTATGTTGTTAGCTTTGCCTGATGAAATGTAATCACATACTTAAGATACAGATTTTTTCATTTTTTTTCACTTTGGTAGGTGGCTTTTTGTGATTGAAGAAGACATCAAGGGCTTGCATTGCTTGCACTTGTATTTTGGCAATGATTGAAACTTTTGGATCATGACTTCTGAAGAGAACTAGCAAAATACTAGACTTATGCTAGTTACAATTAGGCCCAAGAATTAGTAGTTTGTAAGGACAAATGAGAGTAAATTTGTATTCCACTTATATTGTGAAATGAAATTTTCCTACATGGGTATTGATTTTTATTATTTATTCTTGAATGGGTGTTGAAATTTACATATATAATGGCATTCAAAAATTGCTATGAATGGGCTTGATGGCATTTTTGGAATGCTTTCTTTGTTGATTTGTTAGGACTTTGTGGAGAAATTCTAACTTTGAATCTACATGTAAATTTGGTATCTAGAAAGTATGTTCATAGTTTTAAGATCTTATTAAATTACATTTAATTATCTAAAAATTATTATATTTAAATATTTAAATAATTATTTTTTAGTCCGACACAGCACCAAACATAGGTCTTCACTATTTTTACACTCCAGCTTCTTAGTCCGATGCAGCACCAAACGTAGGTCAGTACTTAATCCAGCTTAGGCCAATCTAAGCTAATCCGAGACAGTCCCAGGATTTAGTTCAGTCCATGACAGTCCGTCGTACCAAACGACCCCTGTTGGTACAGACAGAGCTGCGAACCCGAAAGGGCTTTAAACCCTTCAAATTTGAAGCCTACTGGGTCTCTGACCCGAAGTGTAAAGAGGTCATTGATAAAAGTTGGCGTATAAGGAATTGTGAAGATGGCAATGGTAAGGTGAGCTGGGAGAGAAAACTCAGGGGTTGTAGAATGGAGTTGAGGAAATGGAGTGATGTGAAGTTCTCAAACAACAAGAAGATGGCAAGCAACCTTTTAGCTGAACCTGATCGACCTCAGCAGAATTGGGATGTCAACGCTACTAGAATTGATCAGGTGGGGATTGACTTAAACCATATTTGGAGAAGGGAGGAACTTTACTGGAAGCAAAGAGCAAAAACAAAATGGTTAAAAGAGGGTGATGCCGACACTGCTTATTTCCACAATTCTACAGTCCAGAAGAGGAGGAAAAACCGAATGGCCAAGATAAAAAAATGCAAATGGCGTTTGGGTGTGCAATGAAGCTCAAGTGCGGAGGACTATTGAAGACTAATTTTGTAATCTCTTTACCTCATAAGGGCCAAGAGATTGGGGTGATATACTAACCTTTGTCTTTCCAGTTATTGCTGACAACATGAATGCTTGTCTGCTGGCCCTTATTACTGATGAGCAAATTCAGAGCACTGCCTTCCAAATGGGGGCTCTAAAATCTCCGGGCCCGGATGGGTTTTATGGTATCTTCTATCATAATTATTGGAATATTGTAGGTCACGATGTTTGTAAATTGGTTCAGGGGTTTTTTCTTGATGATACAGCTATTGGGGACTTGAATAAACTGAAATTGCCCTTATTCCCAAGGCCCCAAACCCGGAGATGGTTGTGCAGTTTCGTCCCATTGCCCTGTGCAACTACTCATACAAGATTATTTCAAAGATTCTTGCAAACCGGCTGCAACCTTTCCTCGATAAGTTTATTTCTCCTCAGCAATGTGCCTTCATCCTGGGATGGCAAATCCAGGATAATATCTTCATTGCACACGAGGCCTTCCATTCTCTAAAAGTTAGAAGATCAAGCGGGATTTTTGAAATGGGGCTTAAATTAGACATGAATAAAGCCTATGATCGGATTGACTGGGATTTTGTCAAGGCCGTCTTGCTCAAAATGGGGTTTGCTCGGAATTGGGTAATGATGGTTATGAGGTGCATCTCTTCGGTGGAGTTTGCTATTATTGTTAATGGGAAGGCAGGAGATGACTTTAAGTCGACAGGGGGTATTCGTCAAGGCGACCCGTTATCTCCTTATTTGCTCATCATCATCAGTGATGTTCTTTCCTCAATGCTTAACGATGTTGTCTCACGTGGTATCCTTCATGGTATTAAATTCGGGAGAACTGGTCTGGTTCTGTCACACTTATTTTTTGTTGACGATTCACTCCTATTTCTAAAAGCTACTGAGTACAATTGTAGGGTGGTGTGCCAAATCTTGAAGTCTTATTGTGATGCATCAGGACAACTTGTCAACTATGAGAAATCGAACCTCTCTTTCAGCCCTAATACTCCCTAATGATGTTAGAGGAAAAAAATGAGAGGGTCTCAACGTTAATATCACCATGGATCTGGGTAAATATCTTGGTCTCCTTACGTTGTGGGGGCGGTCAAAGGAGGCGCTGAATTTTGTGAAAGATAAAATTATTAAGAGAGTTCAGGGGTGGAAATGGAGCCTCCTCTCTCAAGCTGGCAAGGAATTTTTAATCAAATCTGTTGCCCAGGCTGTTCCTTCCTATCCTATTTGATAGTATTCTGGCAAATTTTTGGTGGGGGCTAAACCAGGACACTAACAAAATCCACTGGATAAGTTGGAAGGAGTTGGGGCTCCCTAAGAAGGAAGGGGGCATGGGTTTTAGGAGCCTGAGGGGAGTTTAAATCTGCCTTACTTGCAAAACAGCGTTGGAGGATTCTAATGGAACCTAATGCGTTTTGGGTCAAACTGAATAAGAGCCTGTATTTCCCGAACAATGAGTTTCTTGAGGCTAGAAAATGGGCCAGATCGACCTGGGCTTGGTCGAGTTTGTTGGAAGGTCGCAACCTCATTCTGAGGGGGGCTCGTTAGCAAGTTCTTAACGGGGGGGGGAACAAAGTTATGGACTGATATGTGGATTCCCTGTGCTCCGGACTGTGTTGTCACCCCAAAGCAAGGTGTTGAGATTGATACTGAAGTAAATGATGAAACTGTCCTAATCATTCCTCTCATGAATGGATCAATAACTTGATTGATGCTAGAGACAGGCTTATTTGGCCGTATAATCGAAATGGTAGTTACTCTGTAAAGTCTGGTTACAACCTCTTGTCCATTGCTTCTGTTAGTCCCTCCCATGATAGACCTTCAACCTCAGGACACATTGATAAGGCGATCTGGAAGTTCTAAAAAACTTGTTATGGAAAATCAGCACAGGTTGTCTGCCGACTAAGCAAGCACATTACAGGAGCCACCTTGGTCTCTCTCCTCTTTGCCCTCTTTGTGGGGAGTTCCCTGAGACTGTTGTGTGATTGGGTGCAGGGCATTTGATTTGGTGGGCGTCTGTGTCATCAAGTCAATAGGCAGAGCATATCAACCATGGATGACTGGTTTATTAGAACGATGGATTGCCTAAACGTGTTGGAGTATATGGAAAAGCAGATGTGTGGCAATCTTTGATGGCTCCCTCATCCCTGGTGTGTCCACGAAGATCTTTGAGAGATGCCCTGCGTATGGTTCACGAGTTTTTACAGCTGCAGTGCTTTCCGATTGAAGTTCTGGATCCTACGGAAGATGGATGCCCCCACCCCACCCTATCTATAAGATCAATGTCGATGCCTAGTGGGATAGCAATTCTCATCAGCCATGCAAATGCTGTGCTGATTGGTGGTAATTGTGGCTCTAGGCTTACGGCTTCAGCTATTGAAGCGAAGGTTCATGCTGCACTGAGGGGGGTTAAGTTGGCAAACGAGTTATTTTTCAGTCGGATTCAAAAGAGTTGGTCCTTGCGGCTCTACGGAAGCATAGTTCCAATGTCTATAGCTGCTCTTGGAATTGGGTTCCCCAGGGAGCCAACAAAGCAGCGGATGCTGCAGCTCTTCGAGCAAGGCGAAGGATGTGTGACGAAATTTGGGACTCTTGTTCCCCATCTTCCTGGTGTTTGTGCTTCAAGCTAATGGGCTCCCTTTTTTGGTGAAAACCAAGGTATCCCCCGCGCGATTGCGGGGACTAACCCTCAGGGTACTGTCGGGCGCAAAGCGGGGACCTCTCCCAACAAAGTCTGCTCTATCCGCAAGCGCCTAGGATCGAACCCAGGACCTCTTGTTTAAAGGATCCAAGCCCCTTCCACTTGGACCCCTAGGGAGTAGACTTCTACTAGGGGTCCAAACTTCTATTCCTAGTAGATGTTCGTGGTTAATTGGCTTTTGTTTTGGGCTGTTGGTAGTCTTGTGGTGTTTGCTCTTTTGTTTGGTGTGGCTGGCTGTTGGTAGTTGCGTTTTCATCTTCTGATGTACTCTCATTTGTTTAATGGAAAGTACATTTGACCCAAAAAATAAAGATGATTTGAAGGGGTGATTCGGCGCCAAAAAAAAAGTTCCAGTTGGAATTTGGCACCCAAAAAAATTCTAGTGTCAAATCGACACAAAATAGTTATGTTAACTCACACGTGATTATTTTTAACGGAAAGTTTAATGGTCTTGATGATAGGTGGTATTTTGAAGAAAAACAAAGCCAGAGAATTTTAGGCAGAGAAATAAAGAGACAGAGAGTGGAGACCTGGTGCTAGAAAATTTCCGTTAGGGCCACTTCCTTTTCTTTAAAGCTCGTTATGATTAAATCTTAACAGGGGAGTCTTTGTGATATTTTTGTTTCATTTGAACAAAAACCTAGACCTTTGTCATAGGCACCAGGTCTCCAACTTAACATAGTTTCGTACCGAGAGATCCAAATCGCCAGCCTCTGGTTGGAAAATTAGAGGGACTTAACTCCTACAGAATAATAAAATAAAGTGCAGTGCCACGATACTCTTCCCAGCCTCAGTTACACCCACTATATCCATTGTTTATGAATGCGAAGCACACCTGATTGCATCTTCTCTTGCATTTATCATGTCTATCTCTGAGAAAATTGAGACAGTCCCAACCAAACAAACGTCATGACATTACGCTAACCCTGACTAAGCTTGCTGAGTAAAGGATGATGTTCTCAGCCACATTGGACGGCCTAAGATGGCCCTTCCGTGAACGGAGAGGTAAGCTGCGTTTAACCTATCAATCAACCAGAGAAGCAAACAAGTCAAATGCCTGTATATGAGTGCATTAAGTATGATATTTTCCTCTTTACACCAAAGCTGCCAAGAGAATATGAAATTACAATTCACAACTTTTGATCTTTGAAAGTAGGGAGGATTTGTTATCTTGCCTTATCAGAACTATTAATGTGAGACTCAAAACAAAAATTGTGTTGAGAAAAAGACAAGTCATACAAAATGTCTTTGTATTTCACCCATAAGTATGTTAGTTTTTC